CATTTGTATACACAGCTCCACTGATGATTTGCGAAATCTTCCTGAAATCAGCTGGAGGGAGAACGAGGGAGCAGGAGGAGTGTATTTGTGTGTGTGTATGTGTGTGTGTGTGTGTGTGTGTGTGTGTGTGTGAGAGAGAGAGAGAGAGAGAGAGAGAGAGGTAATTTCAACTCCTAGTGAAGGGACCGTGTGAAAAATACCCACAGATGTTTTAAAGAGAAGTGACAGACCCTCCAGCAGAGATTCTTAATCAGAGAGTTCAGACATGGGAGTTGTCTGTATTCACACAGTACAGAATAAAACAGCTCAGACTGAGACGGACATGAGACTAAGACTGATAGGGTGGGGGACTGACAGGGGATTGGTGACTGTCGGGGATGAAAGGCTGATAGGACAGGGGACTGACAGGGACTAGAGGAGAGCTGAACAGCTCTGTGCATGACAGAGAGTATGCTTGTCTATGCGTGGTGTACATTACATATTTCTATGTATGTGTGTATGTATATATGTATGTATGTGCATGCGGCATATATAAATGTGTGTTTTTACACAGTGCATTTGACAGTGTATATATCTGTGTGACATACAGTATTTATGTGCTTGTGTGCTTTTTTGATGCTCAACATGCACATTGTACTGGGTGTCCCTTTAAGGGTTACTGTGCACATATGTTTACTGAACTGGTCTGAACTGGTCCACAGATTCCCTTGAAGGTTATAAGAACCACGGGCATATCCATATGTAAACATTTTAAGACACACGAACACATCAAGCGCAGATATGCATACAAACACTCAGTCACGCATATAGGTGTCCATGCATATATAAGCACTCACACAGATGTGCATCCTTGAAGATGCACACAAAGACACAGCTGCCAGCAGACAGACACACACAAACACACACCGTCACACATTTGTAAACAAATCGCTCGCTCACGCACCCAGTCAGCAGGCTGACTTGCAGTATTAATAGGTGGCAGATTGTATAAAGAGATGTCCAAATAAGGTCTTGGGGAGGGAGGGATTCACAAATCGCTTTTTAATTTGAGTCTGACGCTGGTGTAATGAGATCTCTCTGTGAGTACCTTTCCAGTCATATGAAGGTGCAGGGAGACGAAGGCTGATTAGCGCTCATGAACACTGAGTTTTTTTTATCATCAAATAGACCTTTGTGTATATGCTAGACACACTGAAAAACACATTAGATTAATATCACAATAGGAATAACTAGTAATTTTATTAATCTAGATGTATCAGTGATTTAGCTGCTGTCTTGTGTGTTTTCCCATGTCAGTACAAAGAATGGGCTTCCATCGAGACAATGAGTCAATGCAGACCTATTTCACTGCAGGTCTAAAATAAAAAGAACTGTTAGGACTACTGGGTTATTCCAAAGAGAGCAGTAGGATGTACATGTTGAGCACACAGTGTACCTAGTACACCAAGCAGAGATTCTGAGCAGAACTCCAACATAGTAAATCTGAGTTTGGTACAGCGGAGTTTCCATGTCTATTTATGATTTATTCATGTTTATCCTGCCAAAAAATTATAATGAACAATGATAAAACATATTAGAGTAATTAGAGTCTGTATAACTATAATGCCGGTGGCACAAGGGAGGTAGGAACCAGCAGACCCATCCTTGCATAATTCCTGGGCCTGGAACAGAATTACATCAACCAGACCCCTATGACCCATACCCTCCCCCCCACCTGGGCCCTCTCCTGGCTAGTAACCAGTGACCATGAAAAGCAGGGATTTAGTACTGGTTGACTATACATTGATACGCTATATGGAAAAAAGTATTGGGACGCACCTCTTAATCACTAAATTCAGGAGTTTCATTCAGACCCATGGCCACAAATGTATAAAATCAAGCACCTAGCCATTTGTGAAAGGATGGGTTGTTCTGAAGAGGTCAGTGAATTCAAGCGCGGTGTTGTCATAGGATCCCACCATTGCACTGCAAGTCAGTTTGTGAAATTTCTTCCCTACTAGATATTCCACGGTCAATTGTAAGTGGTATTATTGCAAAGTGGAAGCGTTTAGGAACAACAGGAACTCATCCACAAAGAGGCAGGCTACTTAAAGTAACAGAGCGGGGTCACCAAGTTCTGAGGCACATACAATTCACCAGTGCTCTGTTGACTCAATAACTTCAAAGTTTCAAACTTTTTCCTCTGGTATTAACCAGAGCACTGTTCCAGAGAAGGGAACTCTGAATGCTTCAGCATACCCAGGCATTTTGGATAATCCTATGCTTCCTACTTTGATGATTGTGAGCCAGGCCTTCACATTCAATATCAGTGCCTGACCTCATAAATGCTCTTCTGGATGAATGTGCAAAAAATTCCCACAGTCAAACTCCAAAATCTTGCGGAGAGCCTTCCCAGAAGAGTGGCAGCTGTTATAGCTGCAAAAGGGGAACCAACTCCATATTGATGCCTATGGATTTAGAACAGGATGTCATGAAAGTTCCTGTAGGTAGAAAGGCTAGTTGCCCCAATACTTTTGTCCATGTAGTGTAGGACCTGGAGTGGGATTAGGGACCAAGATGGATATGCAGCCACGTACTGTTAGTGCGTGATGACATCACAAAGGGCCTCATAATAAGCTGTTTGGTTGATAGGGCGGTTGCATGCCTTTGGTTTTGGCTCTAGGGTGTTTCTGCAAGGTTTGGGTACTCAAGATGCTCCTGTGGTTTAGAGTGGGCGTGGCTTGGTCGGGCTGCAGCACTGTGCCTGGAGAGGCGGGTCATGAAGTATCTGCAGGATCGAAGCATTGAGTTTTTGGGTGAGAATGGTGGAGGGGTAGAGATCAGTGGCCTGACATCTGCTCTGTCCTGATTTCCCGGTAATCCCCAGAGATAGCCTGCCATTAGAGAGGGCCTGAATGGCACAGGGGGCCTGGCCCGGGGTGAGCGATTGAGGACAATGTTAATTCCACCCAGGAAACCAATTACTGGAAAGTAGAGCGATGAATGATGACCCTGAAACACACAAATCTACTCTAATCCCCGAGGGTGTCAGATTGCTGTCATAGGGGGTCTGTTTTTCGGGGTATGTACTGGGCATGTGTGTCAGGTCGTACACTGGGGAGGTCTACCGGAGATGGAATGTGCTTTGGGTCTGTGTCAGTGACCTGTATTGAGTTGTCTGCTGGCCAATCAGACTCTCAGCGAACACGCTTCGCGTGCCAAAGACAGAATGCAAGCCGCACCATCTCCTCAATGTTTGGGGATGGGCTGCACCCCAAATAACCCAGAGTTGGATCCATTGCTGTGTGTGACAACAGGCTACTGTCTGACTCGTCCCAAAGAAACATATCCTGTTAATGAAACACTTTTCGGTCAGCAGTCACTTGCAGATCAAGGTCGCCCTTCTCATCCTCTAATCTCCCATCATTCCCTGGTGTAGCCACATGCTGGCATGCAGAGATGGCAGACTCTGTGGGCCGTGACAGTGATCCATTTTTTGTTATGGATGCTTTGGTCTAATATATGGACGGATACACAGGATCCCTTCCTATACTTCTCTGTCAAATTAGCTGTAAAATCCAACACAGTGTCATCAAGATACAATATAAATATATTTAAGACACAGCTGGAAAGAAAATGAAAATTGTAATGAAGAATTAAAGGTTGTTGTCAGCCACTAGACCGGGAGCGATAGAACGAGCACCCATCTGCATGTGAGAGATGTAGTTTATTTTGCTGTATAAAATAGAGAAAGCAACATTGTTATTTGTTACTAAAATGACTTTAATAAAAGACAACTGCTGAAAAAAAAGCCTTGCTGTTTTCAAGATGCAGTACATGGTTAATAATTTATTTTTGTGCATTGCAAACTCTACTGGTATCAGTTACAACTTGGATTGAACAATTACAGTTGGGATTAAAATACTTTTATTACCTGACTGGCTCGGGCAGCCCCTTAATTAATTGTCACAGTTGGGCACGTCGTTTGAGCTGATCCTCGGGTTCTCTGAAGGCCTTTCCCGCTACTCATACAATCTCTGGATTATGTGTCTGTGTCTTAAACAGCACACCACCTGCCGAACCTTTCAGAGCATAAATTTGCATCTGTTAATCAATGCAAAGTCCCTGAAAAATCCATATTTGAAATATTTCTCAAGGTAAAAAAGTAGGTTATTCCGAGGACCTTTTTTATGGGGCCAGAGAGCCTGTGGTCGCACTGCATCATGCCGAATTAAGCGTTTGGGTTTGCGGCTCCGGGATGCGGCTGCATTAGCATTAAGCTGCTGAGTATCGGCGTGACGTGGCCTGGACTGGGGCGCCGAGAGCAGCTAACAGCATCAAGGGACCCGTGGGCAGGGATGCTAAAATTCCGTAGTGACTGCATCCACTTCTCCGTGCTTTTTCAGTGGAAGTCATTTAATGCAGCCTCTTGTATGAGGTGCATTTCCTCAGCTGAGCAATCATTCCCCCCCCCCCCCCTTTCTCTCTCTCTCTCTCACTGTAAAATGAAGTGCCTTAAACCACTTAGGGCTTCCTCTTGACCTGCTATGGACTTTCTCCCTATTTACTACACTCCTATACCTTTCCTCTCCACCTCCTGCATCTCCATACTCTCCCTCCTCTCCTCTTCCTTCACACTCTTCCTCATATTTAGACGCTCGAGTCCGGAGCCCTAACTGTCATTATGACATCGGAGCTCGGATCGTCACAGGTCCTGCCAGAGGTCGTGCCACGGGGTAAATATAGAGCTGTGAGGAGGTGCCCCCCCCCCTGCACTTCCTCATTCTCTCTCTCTTTGTTTCTCTCTTTCTCCTTTTCAGTCTCGGGTGGTAGCCTGCATGACAGCGATCCTCAGTCAGATGGATGACCGCCACTATGCACGCTACATTGAGACATTCTCAGGCAGCTCGGAGCTGGTGGTGAGACACGGACGTGTGCTCGGAATGCACACGCAGGCCCACGCACTTCGACTCGGACACGCACACACGGCCAGGACAAATAGCCATGAAGATAAATATACCGAGCTACTGCGGGGAATGCAGCTGGCAGGCAAGCAGGATGACAGCAATGTCTATCATTTCAGGACTTCCTTATGGAGACCTTCCTGCTGTTTAAGGATCTCATTGGAAAGCATGTCTATCCCTCTGATTGGATGGCTATGATAATGGTGCAGAACAGGTGAGGATGAATTCCCTGTGTGAACCCCTATCTATTTTAAAATTGGTACCAGGTCTTCATGATTGGGAATGCAAGGTCATTAGCCAAGGGTAGCCTTGGAGTGAGAATCCACGTGCAGACACAGTCAGCTGACTCAGAACAAGGCCAGAATTCCTCTCGTCCCTCATCACCAGGCAGGGTGACCTGGGTAGCGGGGGATATGATCGCTTCTTTAAAAAAGGCAAGGTGTTGAAACAGGCCAGAATGTCGTCAGATCAAGTGTCATGACACATTGGTCCACCAGGGGGCGCCGTGGCATCTCCGGTACCGAAGATGGAACGATGGTTTTAAAACTAACAGGCTGGCCAACAGGACCTTGCGTCACTCCTGCTCTGCTGATAACAGAAGTGCCGGTAGCCAGTTTGTCAGACAAGATCTTATCATCTGGGTGAAGAAGAGCCATGGGCATGTGGTATTAAGTAGGGCTCAGGTTCTCTCAACATTAGCTCTGCACCACAGAACACATGATGTCAGCATGGTCTTACTCGCTGTTGTCAATGTTGCAGTCGTCTCAGACTTATGCAAAGTGAAAAAGTGACAATTAAATCGAAAAAAAAAAAAAAACCCACATTTTTTTCAGATGCAACTGTGCTCTCGTTTCAAACAGCTCAAGGCAGTGTCTTGAACAACTCTCTCCCCAGGATGCTCTCTAGAGGTTACCTAGCAGAATTTTAATGGTTTGCGCCTGAGAGTGGACAGGCTAATAAGTCCATGCTGGTTGCAGCTACCCGGAGCCGGCAGATGGGTTTGGCCCTGTTGGCCAGTTGTGACATCTGTGAACATGGTTCCTGTCAGGTACCAGGTGATGGATGAGGGGAGGACAGAGGTGGTGTGAGGTTAAAGGATGGAACAATATTAGGGGAAAAAGGCCTGAAGTGTGGGACTGCAAAGACAAGTGAAGAGGATAATCAGGATCAAGAGGAGTAGTGTGGGCAACACAGTAGCCTACCTCCCCCCCCCCCAAATGGCTGCATATGTGCCCCTCCCCCCCAAGAATAACCCAAAAATGCTTAAAAAAAAAAAAAAAAGATTAGCCAACTAGCCAAGGGCATACTAATGGGTGGATCGTGTGGATCAAATGTCCACCCAAGATATTCTCCTCCTCGGAGTCAAAACCCCTCCCCCGACCACCACGAAATGCCCCCTGGTGAAAATCTTCACCTTGCCATCAGATTTATTCTGCCGCTGACACTGCAGAGGGATGAGTACGCAGTGCCTGGGAATGAAAAGAATAATAATAATAACAAGACGAATTTTAAGAAGATAAAGGATCCAGTTTGGGACAGCAGAAATTTGACACTATGAGAAATATTGCAAAAAATAGACTGGATGAAAAAGGAGCGCTGATTTGTGTTGGCGGGGGCTGCTTTCATGTGCAGGGAAGTCTAGAGGGCAAGGATCAGTCAAACACAACCACCGGTGGCGGGGAGACAAATGGACTCATAAAGAGGCTAGTGAACAAATTAGTCTGTGTTTCAGTTATCATCAGAAAGACTCTCTAAGTGTAATGTATTCATAATACATCCGCTGGCTTGTGCAGCGATCAGAGTTACCTGTAGTGGCAATCTCATTTAAACATCTCACGTAAAGAGGCCACATTTTACACTGTGTGCCAGCTGTTGGCGTTTTAGAGATAAACAAGCTTCCTGCAGAATTAAAACACAGACGTATGGCAATAAACATGGCAGTGTGTTGTGCCGCCGTGTGCTCAGACATATCCCGGCTTGTTTCCACTGCTTGGTTTTTATGACAGACTGTAAACCGAAGCCGGGACAGATAATTCCTAATGTGAAGCGTCAGTGAGCCTACAGCTGTACCAAATCTGATCAAGTGAAACCATCTTAGATCCTCACACCCGTTTTACAACCACTTCTCCTTGCCAGCATCACGGGGGATCACCTGCAGCTAATCCTGGGCAACACTGGGCACAGGGCTGGTCTGCACACTGGACGCGATTCCAGCTGACATGCACACACTGGCACACTATGTTGGGCAATTTACAGATGCCAAATAGCCCGACTACATGTTTTTGGGCTGTGAGAGAAAACCAGAGTACCCAGAAGAAACTCATGTGACACAGGTAGAACATGCAGACCCCCCCCCCACAGATTCAAACCCCCCCTCCTAGCATTAGGAGACGACATTGCTACCCAACAAGCCGCTGTGCCACCCGATCTTAGACCTATATCTCAATTCAACATAATTCATTGTAATTCAGTTTCTTCAATCAATCCCAAAGTGCTTAACCAACAATTACAAAACAGTTTAACAACAGTTAAATCATTCCTAAGTTCAAGTAGAAGACAATGGAGACAATTGTAGTTAAAGTAGAAAAAAAAAATCTCTGAGGCCAATTAGCTGGGCAGCTTCCCCCAAGACATTATATAAGTCGGATAGAAGTGTGTATGTGTTACCAGAACAGTGCTCCTGTTCAGCCTTGCCTTGCTCCTTGTGCTAACCTATGCTTTTCTTTATTCTCCTCACCTTTTCAGAGTTTTCCTCAGGGCTATAAACACCTATGCCGACACCATGAACCGTAAATTCCTGGACAACAAAAATTTCGAAGTGCAGGTTAGATTTCTGGTTTCTTACTCTTCCCTAAACTGCAAAGCCGGACAATAAGTAAGTAAATGAAGCCGAGTTTGGCTGTGAGCCTCTTTGTCACATTGTGTCTGTATCGGTTCCTCTTTCTGCAGTTATGGAACAACTACTTCCATTTGGCTGTGGCCTTCATTACCCAGGAGTCCCTGCAGCTGCAGCACTTCTCACACACCAAGAGGAACAAGATCCTGTCAAAGTGAATGTCCCTTCGTACTATCCATCTATATTCCTATTAAGAATATGCCAGGGATATACCGCTAATTACCACCAGTAATAAAGACGGGAAATTTTACATTCGCCCCGCGACAGGAATTCATCTGTACCTTTGTTAATAAGTGGTATATCCAGTTGCACTAACAATGCATAACTTTCCCCATTATAAATACATCTTCCATAAAGCGGAAAGGAATTACAGGCAGTCCCCAGGTCAAGAACCTCAGACTCATACTTACGAGCCTGTAAAATTAAAAAATTGGGTTAAATACAATGATTCGTTACTTTGTGACGCTCGTGAAGACATTGCGTGGCTCCGTCGGTAGGTCGTCGGTTTCAGGTACAGGACAGTATTGTATGCACTAACTTTTATTGATGCTGTGCGATAATAATTATTATGTACTGTATTATTATTTTTCTGAGTTACGTACAAATTTGACTTTAAGACTAGGGAATGGGTCTTGTTCGTAACCTGGGGACTGCCAGTTCCAGAGTAGTATGTTCAATAAAGTATGCATTGTGGCAAATACTATTAAAGATTGCATACTACGAGGTCTGAGGCTGCAGTTGATCCTCTGGCATCTGTTCTGTCAGCCATACACTCGTATTCCTCTCTTCCTCTCTTTTCATTTCAGGTATGGGGACATGAGAAGGTTGATTGGCTTCGCTATCCGGGACATGTGGTACAAACTTGGTCAGCATCCGAGATAATGGGACTCAGCACATAATGCAAGAGCACATGTGCGGAATGAATAAGAATCGGGGTCTGATTACTTTTGGTGACGGTGCCTGTGTCTTCGGCAGGGAACAACAAGATCTGCTTCATCCCCGGCATGGTGGGACCCATTCTGGAGATGACCCTGATTCCTGAGGAGGAGCTGAGAAGAGCCACCATCCCCATTTTCTTTGATATGATGCTGTGTGAACACAGCCGGTCCAACCATTTCAAAAAGGTACCAACCTACAATCAAGAATCACCTTAAACGCCCTATGCATACAAAGACACACTGTACATAATATCTATATTGCATATTGTATAGTACACACCCCACACACAAGACATAATGTACACCACTATACATACATTATGGATTGTACAGACTGTGCATGCATTATAGACTGTACATACTATACATACACTATAGAGTGTGCACATTATACATGCACTATAGAGAATCAAATTCACCAGGCTATATACGTTGTGCACCGTTTAATAAGCCAAAATTATTGCATATTGTTCATATTTGTTTTTTTTATATTGCATTGAGACTTAGTTAAAAGCTAAAATCTTTCTTGGGTGATATTTCTTTGTATGGTGGCTCTGATGTGAAGCAGTGTATCTTGTTCCCACAGCTGTGTTTCACTTGTTACTGGTCACTCACTGGAAGCAGAGCATAGCAGCTCTTGGCTCCCGGACAGCTGCATGCTTGTGATGTTTTATCTGCCTTACTTGTACATTGCCTCGGACAAAATCACCTGCCAAACAAGTATAAATGTAATCCTGTTCATCTGCAACCCAGTATTTTATAAGTATTTAGAAGATTAATGAATGTTTAGGGCTGTACTATAGTTACACTCTATACAACCAATTAGCATGCAAGCTACAAATGTTCCTACATAGCTTCTGCTCTTTTGTGTTGCAGTTTGAGAATGAGATCATTCTGAAGTTGGACCACGAGGTGGAGGGTGGTGGAGGTGATGAGCAGTACATGGAGCTTCTGCAGACCATGTAAGTCTGTGACACCCGACCCCCTTGCTCTCCAGTCCCACCCATTCCCTGTTCTTCTTCTTCTGAGGTCAACAGGTACATGCTAGAGACTTTGCGTGACTTTTCCTTCCTCTTCCACCCCTCCCATAAGTCTGCTGGAGTGTGCCTCACAGCACCCCCAACTGCTTGCCCAGGTGCAGCACTTTGTGATGCTGGTGAAGGGGCTGCTGGAGCGGTTGCTGGATTACAGGGCGGTCATGAGCGACGAGAGCCGCAACAATCGCATGAGCTGCACCGTCAATCTTCTGGTGAGGCGATCTCCCCGGCCAAAGGCTCACCGTCTCTGCATGGTCCTCCGTGCAGTTATTGACCGTGCAGTCTGACGTCTGAGTCATGACGGCACTTCTGGACATTAATCATCCTCTAAAACCTCAATAGATTATGTCTACACTTCCCTTGAAACATTATGTTGCTTGCAGCGGATCAACACATAATTAGAAACATTACTCTGTACAAAAGAACAGTACGATTGAATCTCAGGGCCCTTTCACCCAAATAATGAGTACGTGTCAGCTGTAACGCAGTATAGATCTTTGGGTAACCAGTGCCTAATAAACTTGTGTTGTTTTCCAGATAGGATCCTACAGTGAACACAGGTTTAATTGAACACCATTTATCTTATGATCTTTAAGGCCTTTGCATCTGTAGAATGCAGTGGGAAATGCACCCTTCATGACTTGGGCTCAGTAACTGAAGCTCGTGGGAGTTTTACTAACATAAAAATGTTCTGTGGGCATAGGGGAAAATAATAACCAATCAGATTGTAGAGGAGGTGAGTTCAAACTACTCGGGGAGGTGGGACCAAGACATATGATTGGTCAGTTCTGCTTCCTCTAGTTACAATCTGATTGATTATCTCTCTGAACCAATATTTTTTCCTTCTGCCCTCAGAATATGTTTGTGTAAGTAAAACTCCCATGAGGGTAATTGAACAACTATTGGAGTTGCCTGATTTCCATTCCCCTGCCCCTTGGCTTGGCTCGTCACACTGTCTTTCTTCTGGTTTCCTGCCCAACAGCCTCTCCTTATGAACAGTTACTATCAGTGGTGTGAACTTTTGGCCACAGTTCTCCCTGCCAGAGAGTCTGTTATCCCTTATCCTCTGACTGTCTATAATGCAGGCCTCTGCCCAAATAAGTACCTGTCAGGTCAGTTTGTGCTGTCGGAGTTGTAGGCGTGAACAGAACAGCTACTTCCAGTGTCTGCTATATCAGAATCTGTACAGCAGGGGTCTCCAACTCTGGTCCTGGAGAGCTACTATCTAGTAGATTTTCTATCCTACCTGGCTTCTGATTAGTAGTATGCACAGCCCTGGTCAATCTAGATTTACTCTAACAAGTGACTAAACAGACTAGTAAGACCACCAATATAGTCCAGCAACATGTAATGATGTTGTATGCATCTTATGAGAGTCAGCTCAGTATGGAAACACTTTTGAGAGAGCGATTTTTGTATCCGATTTTGTCTCCAATTTTCGGAAATACAGGGTAGCATTTCACAGCTCTCATTAGACCTGTCTGCTCGGCTCTCACCCAAACTGATCCTCATTAGACGTAACACAGGATGAACATATTTACATCAGTATGGGTGACGTTTTCTGCTGTGTATTTCCTGGGGCCTACATGGAGGTACCCTGACACACACATACACACAAAGGCAGACACTGATGCATGAACTCACACACACGCGCGCAAAGTGTAGACATGGATGTGCATACAAATGCATACTGCCCCCGAAAGGTATACATGTGTGATCTAGGCTTTATTTTCCAACATCATCATACAATGGTTGCAGGTTTCAATGAACAACATTTAATATGATCACATACAAACATGTAGTATGAAGAATCAAGGGAAATGGCTGATCTTTATTAAACCCTGCTTTCTTTTTCAGAATTTCTACAAGGACATCAACCGAGAAGCCATGTATATCAGGTGATTATGTTTGGTTCTGAATATTTATTTGCCTGACATGGAAAAGAAGGTGTTTCTGAGCAACACAGGAACAAAGATCAGCATGTACATGTTTCATTCTAGCTCTCTTTGTTGCACATGTGTGCAGACAATGTGCGTGTGCATGTGTCAGTGTAATCTGGACGGAGATTATCCTGGTCATAGTCAAAACCCAGAGGATCAGCTGGTCGTCTCATAGCAACATTTCCGCTGGATTTAGGGGACAGAGGCACGGGGGGGGGGGGGGTTGGAGGGAGAGAGGTGAAGTAGGAGGTCATGAAGGAAGAGTGAGAGAAAGGATCAGAAAAGGTTCAGGTGAAGAATATACAGATTGCAGTTGAGTGATGGGACTGGAAAAGCATCTGGACAAAAGTGAGAAAGAACTGAAAAAAGAACGACAATAGCTGGACTGAGGAAAGCGGGGCTCTGGTGTATGATGAACACATTAGTAAATCTGTCAGCGTGTTATCACATTACGCAGTGGAGCAGTTAGATATATTCCCATTGCAACAGTATTTACCGGGATCCGCTACTGATTCTGGGGGTTTCGATTTTACAGAGGCAGGTCTGTGCGGCACAAAAAATGCACGGTGTCAAAAAAAAACGTTAGTGATAGCAAATATATTTGTGTAAAGGGAGACACCTGGTGGCCATCATTGAACAGTGTTGTCACAAAAAATCATTCAGAGCCAGACGCACGCAAGCAGTGACTGCCAAGGTCTGACCGTGTCTGCGGGTCTGTTCTTGTAGGTACCTCTACAAGCTGAGAGACCTTCACCTGGATGTGGAGAACTACACAGAGGCCGCCTACACTTTGCTTCTGCACTCCCGTTTGCTGAAGGTATCAGCTTCAAACAGCTATGGGTGTAAAGCTCTCGCCTCTTGCAGCTTCTCAGTACAGTGAACCACTTAGAGAGGTGGAAGCCCACACAAGCACCAGCGATTCCCTGACACACCTCTGGACAAAGCAGTACCGGAAACTCACCATGTCCCTCTCTCTCCTTGCTATTACCAGTGGTCTGAGGAGCAGTGCAGTCCACAGATGGATTTCCCCAGCAACCAGACGCAGCGGCAGCTGAAGGAGGCCCTTTATGACACCATCATCGGATACTTTGACAAGGGCAAGGTTGGCACGGCGCCACCTACTGACCGGGGCTTGTATTGCCATGTAGTACTGCAGAGCTGGTTCAGCCATTACTGCTTTATAAGAGTTTGGGTGTATTCCTCCTCAGTAGAAGATGCAGTGGGAGAAATGGCATCACCACTGCATTGGACAGAGAGAATAAAACTGCTTCCCATGGTCCAGAATGCATTTGTTTTCTAAAAGTATAAGAATGTTTTTACAGCATCCGTCTGCCCATGATCCCAAAGCATTAAGATAATAAACAAAGCAGCAGTCCTGTGCTTTATTAGTGCAGTTATATAAATGTATTTCTCCTGGTCTGTCAAATTTATTTCTTTATAAATATTCCAACTTTTGGGCATATTATTTACTAGTTCAGGTCTACACGGAGCTGAAGTTGGGTTGTGTGTACATAGCCAGAGCAATTCAATTTTCCTGTTATTGTATTAGAGTTTAATAGATTTTCATTGTCGGTGCTTGTGTTGCCCTGGGACTTCTGGAATTCGAGAGGTGGCATTGGGGAAGGGGTTGTTGTCATGGAGACTTCTTATTGTGCACAATGCACACCGGCTCATGTCTTTTCAAATGTATGTCAACAATGGAAATGTAACTCACCTACGACTGCTGTTAATTTATCTTTCTTTATCTGCCGCGCGCAGATGTGGGAGGAGGCTATCGCTCTCTGCAAGGAGCTCGCGGAGCAATTCGAGTTGGAAGTCTTCGACTACGACATGTTGAGTCAGAGTCTGGTAAAGAAACCTGCTGCTCCCTACATCTTGCGCTCCTCCACCTCTCAACAGACTCCTTACATGCCGTCCCGCACCAGCATCAGCCCAGGGCGTAGCCAATAATGGTTACCATGGCTACCACACGGACTCATCCACCCATCACTTGGCAAAACCAAAACCTGGCCCTCTGCGCCAAATTAAAAATAACGAATGTTCCTACATTCACCACTCTGACGTCTGGCACTGCATTTCCTCTGCATTTCCACCACAACTTGTTTGCTTTAGGCCAGAAACGTTCCTTTTACCATAAACACAAGAAAAGTATGTTGATATTTTATTTCCTGTGATGTTTTATTTAATGTAGCGCTCCGACTGACATCCGCTGGCACAGTGCTGTCATCCTGTGATCAGTTTGGGCTGCAGAGCCTGGGATGCCTGTATCATCCACGGATACATGTTTCCTTCTTTCTGCAGAAGCAGCAAGCAAAATTCTACGAGAACATCATGAAGATACTGCGTCCCAAACCAGACTACTTTGCTGTGGGCTACTATGGATGTGGATACCCCCCATTTCTCCGGGTTAGAGCTGTGTGTGTGTGTGTGGGGGTGGGGGGTGGGGGGTGTATTTTATTGTTACAATGTGGAGACCAAAACCTGTTTTTCTGACGTTGTGGGGACATTTATTTTTCAGTCCCCACAAAGATTTTTATTAAAAATCTGTGACTGCAATCAAAATGCCAAAAGTCTCGTTTTGTTTGGTTACTTATGGCTTAGGTCAGGGCTGAGTAAGAGTTAAACATAAGAACATGAAAAGTTTATAAATGAGAGGAGGCCGTTCGGCCCATCAGGCTCATGTGGGGAGAATTCTACTAATAGCTGTTAAAATCTGGTCTAGCTCAGGTTTACAGGAACCCAGGGTTTTAGCTTCCACTACACTAACAGGGAGACTATTCCATACTCTAACTACACACTGTGTAAAAAAGTGCTTTCTCAAATCCATTTTTAAAATGTTCTCCCGCTAATTTCCACCTATGGCCACGAGTTCTTGTATTCGAACTAATATTGAAGTAACTATTTGGCTGAACAGCAACCAGACCTGCTAGAATCTTATACACCTGGATCACGTCATCCCTTAATCTCCTTTGCTCAGTTGCTGGGTTAAGATTATCATTGTGGGGATCAGGGTTTTTTCCACACAATGATATATACAAACATGTGTGTGTGTGTGTGTGTGTGTGTGCGTGTGCGTGTGTGTGTGTGTGTCTGTCTGTCTGTGTGTGTGTGGATGTAATTGTGTTTTTAACAACACCGATAAATCTATCGTGGACTGAAATTGGTGGTTTTTATGGTATTTTTGACCTTATGAACGCGGTGCTGTGGACAGTCGTAAGACCAAAACGAGCAGTGAATGAATAAACATTTTTAATCCATGTATTGTCCAGTCTGTAAAATGAAGGTCATGTGTATTTTTCAAAAGATATTCTTGTGTGTCATGCAGAACAAGGTGTTTATTCACCGGGGCAAGGAGTACGAGCGGAGAGAGGACTTCCAGAGTCATCTGATGAGCCAGTTTCCCAGCGCTGTGCGACTGAACACCACTACCCTGCCCGGGCCAGACATCCGGAACTCCCCTATGCAATGTGTCCTTCCTGGCAAGTTAGAGGAGATTCGGATAGGGGGTGGGCACATGCACGCACGCATGGGGGGGGGGAGGGGCACAAAGACACAGGAAGGTCAGGCAATGAAGGGACAGCGAGCTATTAACAGGATGAATGCAGCAGCGAGGGTAGATAAGGAGGGGGGCACACTGATATGGGGGAAATGATGCAGGGGGGTGGGTGGGGGGGGGGGGTGGCAGGCCGTGGAGTCAAGACAGCTCCTACCTGCGGGGTGTTCCCATCATGCACTGCAGCAACGTGTTCCCCTGCCACGCTGTGGTTCTTGACGAAGCTGCGCAGATATTCAGTGTTTCACGGTGCAGCCCGTCCTGGAAATTCCCCCCCGCCTGAAGAACAAGCCTGTGCCTGACCAGATCATCAAGTGAGTCCCCAAGAACAACCGCAACCGGCGCCCCAGTAACCAGCCCGGTCCTCTCAGAAAGACCCGGAAATGCCCACCGTCTCGCTGGCAGACTTGGTCCAGCATTGATAGATGCTTCTCCCGTCTGTCTTGTCTCCTTGTGTGTCCTTCAGCTTCTACAAGTCCAACTATGTCCAGCGTTTTCACTACTCCAGGCCTGTCAGAAAAGGCTCAGTGGACCCTGACAATGAATTTGCTGTGAGTATCTTTACAGACGTTATTGAATAGCAAACAGACACACATACGTAACAGACATACGCTCACACACATACACACACACACAGTCGTGTAATCATATCTTTTTGGGGACCGCTAATTCATTTCAATGGGAAAAATGATAATGCTAACTATCACAACCTTAACCCCTACCCAGCCCTAAACCTAACCATAAGTAACCAAACAAAATACAAGTGTTTTTGCATTTTAGTTTTTTTATTGCAGTCACAGATTTATAAAATAGGGTTTTCCCATATTGGCACCAGGAAACTTAAAATAGGGTTAAAAAGAAAAAAAAAACAGGTGTTCATCACGTTGCAGGGACATTTGGTCCCCACAAGGTAAGGTATACCTGGACCACACTTACACAGACACACACATGCACGCACATACACAAATGTTTACAAATTTGTATGAAACTCTCAATGATACCCATTTCGATTAACTGTCCCTAATGCAAAATCACTCTAAAAAAAAAGATAGATGAATATTGATGATTAAACAAAAACTACTGACGGTTACAGCTGTTAAGCAGTTTTTATTAAGGCCATTTATCTTGTGGCAACATACTAGCAATAACTGTTTATCAAAATTTGTCCCTACAAGATAGGCAGATCTCAGACGCGCAGAGACATATAGGCAGTAGTGATAGCTGATACAGGGAAACATCATAAATCGCTTACAGATAATATATGCAAGTTGCATAATGCTATGTATATAGAAACAACAAAGAACATTGTATATAGTTCAAAAACAAAATAGACTGGGTCCTTATTTTCAAGGTGATCCCTTATTGTTTTATCAGGCCACTAAAAGCTGTGGGACAGGTGGGAGCCCATTTGTATGATTTTTAACTTTGCTTTGTCCCACAATTAGGGAAAAGGGGGACAAAGCAGTTTCCAGTTGTCTGCTGCTGCCTCCGATACTAATGAGATGTTCAGTCAGCATACAGTGTTTTACAGCCTCATAAAAATTAATTTTATTTTTTAGTTTTATAGCCCTGCTGTTCCAGCAATGCAAATTAGTGTGAATGGCAATTATGTTGACTCTGATTTGGAGCTTATTTAATACATCAGTCTTGTGGTTCAGTGTACTGGCTCAGTAAGAGGCACGACGAATACTCTGCGCAAAAGGCCTTTATTATGTGGTAATCGTGCTTAGTTTTTTGGTACTATTATTGGAACTAATGTCAGTGTGCAGCACCTACCTAACGCAGAAGACAATGGGCTGGTTTTATTTTACGTGAGGATTGGCATTTAGAAGCTATTCCTTCCTTTATCAGAAAACTATGCATCAAAAATCGACTGTATTTACTGCCCTGTATTGTGATGCATTGACTGTCAAACCAGAAGACAGAATTCAGGGCATTGGATTGAATTAGAATTAGAGGACATGTATAATGATGTATTCTCAGAGACTATATCTTATATAGTTAGTCTCAAAATTGTATTTTGAAAAATTCTAGCATGTATGCCGTGCTGTGTAAGCCTCGCTGCGTTTCCTTTCTTTCACATGCAGTCAATGTGGATCGAGCGAACCACCTTCTACACAGCCTACAAACTCCCGGGAATTCTGCGTTGGTTTGAGGCTACTTCCATATCACATGTCAGTACCGATGCTTGTTTGCCTGTCTCATTGTTGCTTCTCATTAATCTAATAAAAAGGTCCAAGATCTTTAACTAATATTGTCATTCTGGTCACGGATCAACGTGTCTTACTCTTGGTCAGTTGTTGTTTTGATCTAACCTAAAATAAATACATTTGTATGAAGTATGATCAGCGGATAAGAATTGTGATAGGAATAAAAACATGTGTATTATAGTCAATAAATTGTCAAATTGAAATTTCCTTTTAATGTGCATAAAATTATTCTGTCCACATCGCCAGGAAGAATAACAAGACAACCTATTTGTCTTTCCTCAGACTACAATCAGTCCATTGGAAAATGCCATTGAGACAATGGAAACCACCAATGAGAAGATCCTGACTATGATAAACCAGTACCAGGGTGATGAAGTCCTTCCCATCAACCCCCTGTCCATGTTACTGAATGGTATCGTTGACCCTGCGGTCATGGGTGGATTTGCCAAGTATGAGAAGGTTGGTATGTGCGTCTCTGTACATGCGCTTCTAACCATTCGTGCTGTGGTGGGTGTGTTTTGAGGAGTCATGCCACTGCCTCATATCTCCAAGTTCGAGGTTTGGATCGTCTGCCTTTGCTTGGTATTAAAAGTGTGCATGAGCTGCCCAGGTTGTGTGGGATTCCTCATGCAGTCCCAAGAGATTTCCGCTAAATAACACTCCTGAATTTACTATAGTGTGTGTTCATGCCTTCTGATGGACTGGCATCCCGTCCAGGGAGTGTGTACATGCCTTCTGATGGACTGGCATCCCATCCACGGAGTGCCTCAGTCCTCTGTTCTTGGTGTTTGGGCATTTCTGTTTTGTTCTGTTAGGCTTTCGTTGCTCACCATTGTTGTTGTGAAACACATGTCATTTATCCTTTCTGCTTACAGTCCCACATGCTGTCATATACCCATGTGGGTTACAGATTTCTTCCCCATGCAGGATTTCTCAAGGTGACATAGTATTGGCTAGCAAGTTAGATATCCTATAGACGGGGCTGGTCTGTGATTAAAATTCAGTTCAGTTTAAAATTCAGACTTTGAGGTCCCCCAAAGTAAATATTGCTGAGTGGAGGTGGTTAAGGTTGCCATATTGAGATTAGAGTTTCCCCCATAGAAATGAATGGAGAGTCCCCACAAATATATAATTACAAACCTGTGTGTGTGTGAGTGTGTGTGTGTATGTCTGGTATACCAGATAGCTAGTGCACCCCTGCCTATAAAAATGGAAAATTTCACTGTTTCAACTGAACTCTAGGTTTTGACATCTAATTCCCAGTCAATGTACAGGCTGTAGGCATCTGGAGTCCAAACCTAGATTAAATTTTGATTTTTCTTACCTGAACCAAATTCTTTGAAGTCACTTCAGTGTTGTTTCTGCACCAGAAACTAATTTACGAGAAAAAAAAAAATCATCAATATACATTACATTAATCTATACAGTACGTATATTCTATTCTATTCTATTCTATTCTATTCTATTCTGTTAAAATTAACCAAGCACAAGACATTTTGTTCTGCTGCACTAGACCTGTTTGTTCGGTAAGGTGCTGGAGGCAAACTGGGCTGGTAAAGTCTCAGAAGACGTGCGGTTTAGGGCTGACTTCTGTTGTGGTAAGATCACAGCTGTAGGGTTGATTTCAGATGAAACAGGACCAGACTCAAGAGTTTACTAGCCTGCTCCTATGTACAAAACAAAATTGTGTTTTGTTTCTGTGCCATGAATATCAAAGATATAGATAAATAATTAAAATACATAGATGCCAGATAATTAAAACAATAAACCAGCAGCGCATAAGTGATTGGAAAGTAGGGGGGTGGGGTGGGGGGCGGATGTATGGAGGGATAAAACCACAAGTTTGTATCACTTAGCATCCAGGCTACGTTCTGTCCAATAGTATGTTAGGTAACTTGTACGCTATACAAACATCATATACACTGTATACCAGGGGTCTCCAACTCCGGTCCTGGAGAGCTACCGTCCAGTAGGTTTTCTATCCTACCCGGCTTCTGATGAGCCACACCTGTTCTCAGGTAAATACCAGGAGCAGGTGTGGCTCATCAGAAGCCAAGTGGGACAGAATACCTACCGGATAGTAGCTCTCCAGGACTGAAGTTGGAGACCCCTGCTGTATACAAACCTATACGGTAAACTGCACCTATACTGCGCTTGTACTGCAAGACGAAACAAAGTAACGTTTTCTGTGTAAGAGAGTACACATTAAAATTACAATAAAGGGTAAAGTGAACTAAATACATAAATGCATAACATAGATGTTTATTATCACAATCCAGTATTATGGGTACCATAACTTAGATATGTACTGTACCATTTTACAGTTGGCAGTGCATCCATTTTGTTTGCACCAGCTACACGTGATGCACAATGGCTTCTCACACATCTATTTTAACCTTATAGGACCACAGCTATATATGCAGTCAGACGTTATGCGGAATGATGTTCTATTTAAATTGTTTAATTGCAAAATCACTTGATATAGTATGAATAAAGTGCATATGTAATATATGTTATTGTGAGTTTTGCCTTACTTAGGGCCATTTCTGTTGTGTGACATCTTGTCAAATGTTTTTTGCACCAGCTCCGTCTTGTTCTGCTGGCCTTATCGGTTAGTACTCTGTCTTTGTTCTAATTCGCTATTTCCTTCGCCTATTTATAGGCCTTTTTCACAGAAGACTATGTTCAGCAGCATCCAGAGGACAAAGATAAGCTAATTCGCCTCAAAGACCTCATCGCCTGGCAGG